CCCCCCCATTCGTCCTCGTCCTCCATCACCACCCCTCCCCTCACTCCATATTCCTCCCTCGCCATCCATCCTTACCCTACGCTTTTCCAGACGTGTCTGTGGGGTAGGTCTAGCGTTTCGCCAGAGACCTCCCTAGGATGTATGAGCCTACAGCTTGGAACTTCCAGTGGTGACAAGGATGTGGGGCGGGTCGTTCTCAAAATGTACCTCTCGCCTTCGCCCTTCGCGCTTCGCACATGCGCCTCAAAAGCTTGCAACAGCTGTAAGGATTGAGGGAGGCTCGCTTTCAACACGCAGCTCTCGCCGTAGTGCTGCGCACACTCGTCTTGAAAGCTGAGTGCAGTCACGAGTGTGGAGGGTAGGTGGTTCTCAAAATGGAGCTCTCGCCGTAGCGCCGCGCACATTCGTCCCAAACGCTTTCGGTTGTTACAGCTGTGGAGCGCGGGTAGTTGTCAGCACCTGGCTCGCCCTGGCGCCGCGCACAGTCGGTTTCAAGGCGTACTTCCACTCGCGACAAGGAGTTGGGCCAGATCGTGTTCAACGCTCGGTTCTCGCCACTGCGTCGCGCACATTCGGCTTACGCGTTTGAAGCAGTCGTACGGACAGTGGATGGCGCCTTTTCCAGAGTGAGGTGTCCGCATTCAAGTTGGTGAGATATGCAACACAGTCTACATGCCGCAGCACTTACTCGGACGGAGGCCGATCTGTTCTCAAATTGGGGTTTCCATCATAGTCCCACACTTGTCAAGCAGGTGCGCAGCAGCTGAACGGACGGGCGTCCTCGCTCACGTTTTGATTGCCAGGAGCTTGGAACAGCTGCGATAGCTCCGCGGATGGACGGCGGCCGACAGCTCCGCGGACGGATGGCGGCTCCATCTTCGAAGCGGGGGCCTCGCGTGAGGAGACGTCCTCAACATGACCGACTGGCGCTGCACACTCGCACTGCAGGTGCACGGGTAGGGGGAGGAGGAGGAGGAGAGGGGGAGGGGACGGAGGAGGAGGCGGAGGCGGGAGGCGGAGGGAGGATGAGTGTAGTAGGAGGGGGAGGAGTAAGGGAGGGGGAGGGGGGGGGGAGGGGGGGGGGAGGAAGGCGAAGGAGGATGCGGAGGAGGGGGAGGATCAGTGGAGAGGTGGGGGGGAGGGGAGGAGAGGGGGAGGGGGAGGATGCAGGAGGAGGGGGAGGTAGGAGGATGAAGGAGGAGGAGAGGGGGAGGAGGTGGAGGAGGAGAGGGGGGGGAGGAGGAGGGGGAGGGGGAGGGGAAGTGGGTCGCAGCTCCCCCGAGACGGGGGCCCTCGCTGGACATTCGCCGTTTCGAGTGTTGCCGTGATGCCGTCCTGGCGCTCCTTGCTGCATCGCGGCAGAACGCAAAGCTACTCTTTTTCAGAGCAGGGATCTCGCCTGAGCGGGCAGGCCTCGTCCTCCTCCTCCTCCTCCTCTCCTCCTTCTCCTCCTCCTCCTTCTCCCTCCTCCGCTTGTTCCTCCTCCTATCACTCCTCCTCTCTCCACCTCCTCCTCCTCCTCCTCCTCCTCCTCCTCCTCCTCCTCCTCCTCCTCCGCGGATGTCAGGGGCCCTCAGACGGTGCGACTGGGGCCTCCGCGGTCCCAAATCCGGTGATTGTCTGTCAAGAGGAGGGAACTGGGGACGGGGAGGTGCACAGCCAACCGGCACAGTGAGGATTGGCAACCTGCCCAATGGTGCCCGTGTATCCTTGCCAACTCGGTCCATCCCTGGCCACTTTCGATGGCCGCGCCCCGCCCGACAAGCTTCGAAATGGGCGTCCAAGGCCCTTGCATCCTCATCGCGCATCCGATCTGGGCCGACTGTACAGTCCAGATGCTGAGATAAGGGCCACTTGGGGCTCAGGAGGTTCTCCGGTTGTCGGGCCGCTGCTTAGATCGAGGCCCGGGGGCTTGCTCGTGGCCGAGGCTCGCCGAGGCAGGGAAGCCCCTTCCTCCATTGTGCAGCTCTTCTTCATGGTAATTGCGACGGCTCTATGCGTTGCTGCAACGCTGTCGACTGTTGGGGTCCCGCTGGTCCTTCCCCCTTCGCATCCCCTCCTCCCGCGATCCTGCTCGGTCTTTTTCTGCTCTCCTCCTCAAGGCTTGGCGTCGCTCGGACGATTGCATTGTTCCCGGCGAGAACCATCGAGGACCATCCTGGACCATCGAGCAAAAAAAACACGCACGAAACTCACAAATGCGCGGGGAATGGACGTCCGAGCGACGGCAAGGCCAGCGTTGGCTCCCGCGCGTCCCCCAGCCGGGCAGGGGCCCGCCGGGCCGGGGCTCCGGCCACGCCCTCCCAGGGGGGGGGGGCCCTGTTGCTGCGGCGGCCCCTTGCAGGTCCGAGAGGCCACCCTTCGAGGATTGACAGGGAGGGAGGAGGAGGAGGAACAGGAGGACGAGGAGGAGGAGGAGGAGGAGGAGGAGGTGTAGGAGGAGGAGGAGCAGGAGGAGGAGGAGGAACAGGGAGGAGAAGGAAGAGGAGGAGGAGAGGTAGGAGTAGGAGGAGGAGGAGGCATTGCGGATTGCGATAGGGTTAGGAGGGAGGAGGAGGCGGAGGAGGAGGCAGGAGGGAGGAAATGGAAAAAGACCAGGAGAACAAAGGCGGTTAGGCGATGAAGAGAAAGGAAAGTAGGGGGAGGGGAAGGACGAGGGAAGGAGGAGGCTGACGCTTCAGCAGCTAAAACCGCCGGCAGCCTGCGCAATGAAAAGGAGGAGAGGGAGGAGGGAGGAGAAGAGACGGATGAGGGGGGAGAGTAGGAGGAGGCGGGAATGGGGAGGTGGGGGGGGAGGAAGGAGGAGAGGAGGAGGAGAGGACAGGAGGAGGAGGTGGAGAGGAGAGGAGGGGAGAGAGGAGGAGGGAGAGGGGAGAGGTAGGAGGCAACAGGGAGGATGATGAGGAGGAGGAGGCAGGAGGAGGAGGAGGAGGATACGTAGGAGGAGAGGAGAGAAGGGCGAGATGAGGAGGAGAGGAGGAGGAGGAATGTTCGTCGCGTGCTCAAAAAAAAAAAAAAAAAAAAAACAGTTCCGTGGACGCGTATTTCGAGGCTCATAGGGGGATGTCGACGCGTTTCGTTCGGAGGGGGCGCTTAGGAGCGAGGGGGTGGCGGGGTGTGGGGGGGGGGGGGGGGGGGGGGGGGGAGGGTGGGAGGGGGGGGATGGGGGGGTGGGGGGGGGGGGGCATTCGAGGAGGGAGGAGGAGCACCCTTCCTCGAAAAAGTGATGCAACTCTCGCGCGTGGTCCGTCGCCCCAGTGTCAATGTTCACACAGGGGTGCTGCACGGTTGCATGTGTTGGTTTCGTTCGCGGGCGGCTGCAGCTCCCTCAACATTGAGGTTGGGGGCGGGCCCTCGGGGATGGCAAACAGTCGAGAATCAATGATGCATGTCTGGGGGCGGGCACACTCCTGCCGAGGATGACCACCACCCCATTGTACATCACCGAGCTGGGTACAAACTGGGACCGAGTGCTGAAGCCGTTTGGAGGAGGAGGAGGAGGAGGAGGCGGAGGCGGAGGCGGAGGAGGAGGAGGAGGAGGCGGAGGAGGAAGAGGAGGAGGAAGAGGAGGAGGAAGAGGAGGAGGAGGAGCGTTGGGTGCTCGTTTCGGGTAGAACACCGCGGTCGCGACCCGCCTCTCCTGCCCCTCCTCCTCCCTTCCCTCCTCCTCTCTTCGCCTCTGTCTTCGTTCCTCCTCTCCTCCTCTCGTCCCTCCTCTCTTCCCCCTCCTCGCTTCCCTCCTCTCTTCCCCATCCTGGGGGGCTGCGATCTGCGAAACTGTCGCCATGTTCGAGGGCTGCTGGGTGGGGCCGGCATAGTGGGTTACTCGCCGCAGATTCAGAGTAGACCTCGCCATCCTTGGGGGAGGTGCGATCTGCGACACCGTCGCCAATTTGGGGGGATGCTGGAGGGGGGGCAGCATA